CCGGGATTTTTACGCGTGTGTTGTAAATCGAGTGGCAATAAACGCGTGTCTGACCAATTCTCCTTTTTATCTCTCGTTTATTTTCTTCGTTATCTTCGTTTGTTTTCGTTAACCCCGAATGATCACTAATTTTCACTTAGACGTTCGCCAGCCTAGTATATCGCCCAGCGTTACATCCTCCGGCCTTTTGGATCAGTGAGCGTTGGCCCTAGTACCACTTGGTACGCATCCGCCCACCTGGGTGCTCTGGTAATCCCACTCGAACAGTATACGTGCTCTTGAGTTGTCCTTTGCTGACAAATACTGATTGATTCGTGACTTGCCGATGTCGTCGCGCCTTGTCGATTTTTCTCTCATTCCCTTCCACGAGGTGCAGAGCGAAGATTTTGCACAATATGTCACCTTTGAGAAGGATGGTGTAAAGGTTTGTTACCAGGCATGAAATTGAAAATTGATTTAATAGATAAACGTGCCTATTCACGTTCCTGCTGAATATCGCAGCGCTGCAAAAAACGACCCAAATTTTTTTGAACAGCTCAAATCACAGATACTGCACCAGTTTGCCAGTGAAGATACGCAAGGAGAACTCTTGACCGACAGAGGAGCACCTCTTAAGCAAGATACTACCTACGCTCTAGTTCATGTTGCTGCTCCTAGGGTGAGTGCCTTTCAGAAACTTTCCTAGCTTAACTTTTACAGTTTTGATAGCCTTTGCATGTTTTTTAGTACTAGACTTACTATTTACGAATCTTTTCATGCTTGAGCATTAGGAGAGTTTTTAATTTCTCATGAAAACAGGGCGGATATGGGAGGGAAGAATGAACTAAACGCCGTACAAATCACCTCATACCTCTTCTGAACATAAATATTTCTTAGATCTTACAACAGGCGAACAGTTCTGCCGTCATTATTTTAGATCTTAAATTTGTGCTCTCTAAACCGCCTGCGTGATAGATTCGGTGGACCTGTAGCGGTCTAGGATGTGTGATTTACCATAACCACTACACTATTAGTATTCCGTCTGATAGGAGAAGGCAAGTTGCTACGAGTAGACTGTTTGCTTGCGAGAGATAAAAGCGTCCGTCTGGGAGCTTGTCAGAA